TAGAGGAGGAGGTGGAGGAGGAGAAAGAGGAGGACAGCCTCCCCACTTTACTTCATTAATCATCTTTGGCGACCCTGATGTGAGCCTGATGCCTATGCATGCGTATATTAGACAAAAGGAACTTGTTCGGCGACAACTCATGAGGGGATGAAGGCTAAGTAGTAGCAGCAGTAGTAGGGAAGGTAGGAATGATCCTCTGACATCACGTTTGTGGAAAGCAGAAGAATAAGTATTTTAAATAAGTACTCTAAATTTCAGCTGTCCCAGTCTTATTAAGAGAACGTGTATTTTGTTTATATTTTGAGGGGCTAGGAGGAACAAACGAGGGTTTAAATCCCTAACCAGTGTTCGATATCGGGACTCTTGGAGGCAAGAATGAATGGATATGTGGAAAAAGACCCAGCTGAATTGTGAAATCAATCATACTTTCATGTTGAATGTTAGATGTTACTAATAAGACATTCAAAGCACACAAATGGGGTAAAGCACTGGCGTGCTATAAATTCTCCACTTGTAAAAGAAAATCCTTCATCTTCATTCCTTTAAGCATCACTACAAAGGCCTTATGCATAATTATTTAGGAATAAAATAAATGTGTCCTTTTGCAGTGAGGATATATGGTTAAAGGCTTGGTACTTATGGGCTTGATTGCCCTCCAAATCGGCATGTCATTCACTCCCTATTTACTTTATATTAGGTGAAAAGTTGGGATAAGACATGATGTGATTTATTTTTAGCTCCAGTCTGCATTTTCTACTTTTGGTGCTACAGTGGGATAGAAGTAGGCGAGAGGACTTATTAAAGTGACTCCCTTCACATCCTCTGTGCAAAAATTAACCAAGAAATTGCATGGAATGATTTCCATTAAGGGTTAAAGGCATTTGCAAAAGGTTTGCCAGATAGAGAATAGTTGGCTGTGTTATGTGAGAGACATCTGAGCTTCTGCACAGTAAGTCACAGTGACAGTCACCAAAGAGAAAAGAATGTTTAAAAGGGATTCCCTATTCGATGCCTTGTTCACATCTCAGGTGGCTGCTCAAGTGACTTCAAATGGGCGAAGTTTAGAAGGCACAGACTCTTCACCCTGCCACTGAGAAGGCCTATCATGAAGCTTTCATATCGGTGCATCGGGGTCTCTCGAGGAAGCTCTTTGCAAAGTCCACCTAATCGGTGCTTCTAAAAGTAGTGGTATATCAAGAAATCGAGGTGCTTGGCTCTCTCCCTCACCACTGGCGGGCCTAATACATGCAGCAGATGGATCTGTAATGCTCGGGTGTCATGTAGCTCAGAGTCATCAAGAAGTATTGGGTAGTTGAAGATATCGTCTCTGAATTTTAGGCGCTGATCTGCTAACGACATGGCAAATATAATGGTAATCGAACAGGAGAAGCTGCTGTGTTACATGGAGGTAGCCGTTTCATTCACTGATGTCGATGAGGTTGTCAAAGCGAAGGCGCGTCTATGTAAATCGCGTCGATGGTATCACACGCTGGTAAGATCCAGTGTCGAATTGATGGATCTTCTTGAACTGGTGATGGACAAGAAGCATTAATCGTGCGTCACAGTGATGATCCACCCTTCATATAGATTCATTTCTTGGTTTTCATCCTTGGAGATTAAAACCTCCTTCCTTCCTTACATCATTGAGGTGAATTAATCCTATGTGAAGGAAATGAAGTGCCTAGTACACCGTATGTGTAAAGTCAATCGGGCTGGTGCCTAGAAATTTGGCACACTTGTCAAGGACAAACTTCACTCCATGTCTGGAGTGCCAAGTCCATTGGAAGAAGTAGAATATTGTAATCTCTCCTGTGATCAGATCCCGTTTTCCCTTAAGGCACTGGTGGGTCAGTGCACAGCACTCACATTGAACTAATGGCTATTCGTGAAGGCATATACAGAGATGCAAAAGTCAGCCTCACAAATTCATGCGTAAATAATTGGCTGTACCTGTGCCAGTAAAAGTAAAACACAGTTCTTGATTAAGAGCACTAAAATGAGGAGGAAAGTAGAATTTTTCCTAAACGTATTGACATAGAGTAAATGTGTACGCAAGGCACAAAATTTGAAAATTGGTAACGAAATTAAAGAGAATCGCCAAGAAGTATTTGAAAGTGAATATTACATGGCAGAAAAGAGGCAAAAAGAGGGCAGAGGAGGTAAGTGAAATGGAGTGAATGTATGGGTATGGGGTGGTGTAAAAGTGGGCCAGCAACCCCGAGCGTTCCGCATCCGTCACCAATACCTGTACTAACCCGGCCCGACGTAGCACAACCTGGACGGCGTGACGGACACCATAGGCCTCTACGTGGTGTAGTTGCTGGCGTTATCTCGCCCTCCACGTTTCCAATTTTATCTCGAACTCTATCAAACCAACAGGGCATTGCATGACTTCCCTCGTTCCCTTAACTCGCCATGGTTGTCGCTACTAAATTCCAAGCACATCTGCATTGCATAACTCATTTGTTTGTTCATATATTCATTCAAAACCTTCTTATTTTGTGCAGAAATAGGAAATGCTTCTTTCCATTGTTTACAGGGTTAGCACAAATACAGTGATTATTTATCATCGCGCATTCGAGATGAGAATTGCGCAAGTTCGGGACAAATATTTTGGCATATGCTTTCACTCCCAGAACCTTGGAAACTTTGGGAGAATGCTAACTTAAGCCACAATCCTGATGCATAATGCGGTGCCTTCAGTAAGCCGTGAACAACATCTTAACTATGCAACCTCATGACAGTGTGATTTTGCTCATCTTCCACTTTGGCCTGGATGATCGCTGAGGTTCTTCTTTGCCAATCACGCATCAGTCCTCATTGTTTTCCTATGCTTTCTTTTTCGGAACGGACGAGCACTAGGAGCACCCGGTGAGTGGATTTCCATTTCCATGGTCATAACATTTTGCTTTTGCTAGTTATTTATTATGATGTGCAAATGTAGGTTTAGCCGCCACTCTTGTTAATGCACCGCATAATGACCACGAAAGCTGGAAGCTACTAATGACATTTCTTCTCATTTCTTAGTCTTCGTTTATTTGTAGCGATGCATGAACTAGGGTCAATTCATTTGCTTCACGACTCCATCCAATCGTGGCTGCGCTTTCCTTTATCTATCACGTCACAGATGTTTCTTCACGCTAGCACTCATCTTCTCACAGCCCTGCATTACTTGAACTGCGATTAGACATGCGTGCGAAGGCGATAATGACGAACATTGGAGACTGTCGCTATTTAAAGGCTTCACATGATGACTAATCTTCAGCAATTGCTGAGGGATATGCTCTTCCTCAACGCCATCTCATATTAAGCAGAGCTGTGGTACAAGTGCGCTGATAACCGCTGCAGGGTTGAAGTCACTCAGGCACTCTAGGTATCCGTGACTGTAAACGTAGAAGTGTGATTGGACTCATGCACTGACAGTCTTCTCACTAAAGCTTGTTAGGCAAGCATGTGGGGACTTTAGGATTTCGACAATGCGTGCACATAAAAAATTGACAAAACGCAGGCCTTCCCTAATGCCCATTCACAGCATTCGGTCTCGTTTCCAAAGATCTCTTGTTTGAATTCATTAACTGCAGGATAAATTGGCAGTTCACATCTTGTGCAGGTATGGCATTTCGGCTACTTGGTGAATGAAGATGAGAGTGGATATGTTGTTGCCTCACAATTCTCGCAATTCGTGGGCAATTAAGGCTTGCTGAGGGGATTTTGAATTGTCTTTTTATGTGGTGTAATGTGGGGGAAGTGAGTGACAGGGAGAAGCGTATGAAGAATGGAATTTCTCTTCAAGAATGCCCGCAATATTTCTGGCGCCGTATGTCCTAGCTCCGCTAGGGTTGTTAGCCAGCTGTTGCGGTCATGTTGAATTAGTTATAGCACTTCATCTATTTTGAAGTATATACTTACGATTTGCCAAGGCATGAGCAAAGAACAGATATTTGCAGTGATGGGCATGCATGGCGGTCAGGTGAAAACCGAAATAAAGCCCTGTGTAAGGTGAAGGAGACGTTGTTGAGGTGAAACTAAGGCCCGCATTAGAGAGCTTTCTGCCCCCTGGATATCAAGTTTTCTTAAATAAAGATGAAAAAAATAAAAAAACACGCCATTTAATTAAAGTGGGGTGGAGAACTTGAATGAAGAATAGCAATTTAAACGGTGTTTGACAGCCAAAACACGAACTTTAAAGAGACATGTGACCTGCGATAACGATTGCCATGAAGGATTTATGCCTATTGGTGGTGTAGTAGTAATATAGTTCCAGTAGCAATGGCTAAGGGAAGGTGGGAAGT